ACTTGGATGTCATTTATTCTACCAACTGGTGTGTCTACTTACAAGTATATCTTGGTCAACCTATGAACTTTCCAGCCAACCCCTGTACACCCTTGTGCAAATTAATTGAAACAAAATGAATAATTCCATTATTATTTATGTTTTTGTATTTTTCCAATGAAACATGACCCAGTGCACAGGTTAGGACATCATATGTCCATTCCACAATGTCATTCCTTGCAGATTGACTACAGATTCTTGATTAGATTTAAATTAGAGTTTCCAGTGCAGTCTATAGTACTTTGATTTGTTCACTGGGAAGGCTTGTCAGTGTGTTCCTGCTGCATTATAATTTTCATACAATTCCTTGGAGTAACATCCATCACAGACACTGGCCGTAGGGCAACTAATCAACAGTTGAGACAATAGTGTCTGGGCATGATGAAAATTTGATGTAACCATGGATGATGCAATATTTTACAAACAAATTTCATCATACACCCCCAAAATAGATTCATATTACTGCACACCACTGCAAATGACCTAATCTGAGAGAAAAATAAAAATTGATTACACCGTCAATTCAGTGGGTCTAAAACTGACCTTATGATGAAAGAAAGGAAACTAAAGCAGTTGTTTCAATTAATTTGCACAAGGGTGTATATATATATATATATATATATATATATAAGTATGTAAAAATACACCTTTCTTTTAACTGTGTGCCGATGGTTTGTGGGAAAATCTCCGACTGTTGTGGAATCGATTCCAGCTTAAAGTGATCAAATGTCTAGCCACACTGATAAGCTGTGATACAGTGAAACAGTCTGTCTGTGGAAGACTATATATATATATATATATATATATATATATGCATATCTGTTTTATTAAATAGTCATAATAGTCTCAGTGCCTTTTAAATGTTTCAATGATTTTCTTTAATCCCCCAAAATTAGTGATTGATTTTGTTAAGTTTTTTCTGGACTAAAACTATTTGAAACAATATGATCAGGTTCAAAATACCTCCTCATACGCAGCTGTCTTAGATATTGAAATGAAACATAAAACTAAATTTTACTTAAATCTTGATCTATATTGCTTACATAACAATTAATCATAAAGAAACAAATTTAGAGACAATTTACTTTCCTTTACAATGAAAAATATGTAATTATTAAATCACCTTACCTACACATCTTTCCTGTTCAATCACATAAAGTGAATTAGTTTCTGCATAGGTTTCATACTAAAATGCTATATTTGTCTGTGGCTGTAAAAGTCAGTAGAATCTCATCTCTGTCCCAGTTGAATTCTAAGAAAGATCTATGCAGCATATGTTTCCCAGCAGTCATAGAAAACTCAGGATATATGTTTCCAGAGTCTTGAAAGGTAAACATCAGAATGGCCATGTACATGTAATATAATTTTAATCTATTTCTCTTATTTATCTAGTGTGAAGGTGACTGTTTTGTTTTGTTTTTTTTTGTTTTTTGTCTATTTTTACATTTTCTATATTGGGGAAGTATGCATGACAGGTGACTCAAGTGTTTTTAACATAGACTCCTATAACTTGTAATAGCATTTTTATTAGGCATTCATTGCTGATGATGCACACAAGTGAGGATACATGATGAAATTCTCAATAATTACTATTATGCAACAAAACAGGAAATATTAACACTGATTACATAGTAAGATTTAAAATAACAAGAGATTTATTTTATCTATACACTAGCAGCTATACCCAGCTGGTCAATCAGAAAAGGTGTTCAATTAGAATGGAGCAAAAACAGCATCATGTTTAGATGTAACAGAGTCTATCTTCTTCAATTACTTTAAAGTACTTTCATTAAAAAATTTTTCAATTAATGCAGTTACTGATATAACAGAAGTAGTGTGTATTTATTCAATCGAAGTTAGCCAAGGACATGAAGGGGTAAAACAGGCAACATGTAGACCCACATCAGACGACAATTATTTTGGAGTTTTTGAAATTCAATTTGTCAGTGTGCTACCAGAGATGTAAAAGAAGATACATTTATAAAGAAATTGTTAAGTTTGATGAAAATTTGTTGAAAGATCAATGAAAAATAAGAAGGAAACCAGTAAAATTTTTCGTTGTTTACAAGGATTTTCACTATACGGGTGGACTCAATTATCAAGTTAAATCACTATTAAATGATCAACTTATTGTTGGCTACAATTAGAGTGAAGTTTGTATTAGATTGTTTGAAAATTAAGGAAGTTTTTGTTCAAAATTTGTGTTGAAATCGATTTCTGTTGAAATCAATTTTTGTTTTTCAGTTTTTCGCTAAATGCAATGGCATAGAAATAAAAATGAGGTATTGTTGAACTCATCATGATGTAAGTAACCTAAGTTTGAACAAAATTGAAGGAAAAAGTTGGATTTATTGATTTTTAATCGGCTTTATTGATTATTGATTTTTAAAAAATGATCAATTTTTTATGCTAAGAATCTATCTCTTACATTGTACAATGCATATGCCAAGTTTAGTTTGGATGCATCTTGAGTGAAAAGGTATCACACAGACAGACACACAGACATCCTCTGTTTTATATATATAGATAATGGAAAATGCTTGTAACTTATTCATAATGCATTTAAGGGATCTCTAGTTGTGTAACATGGTGGGATTCACACCATATAATACCAGAGGTCAGGATCAAATGTAATGTTCATCAGAAGCCTTTGATCTAAGAGGAGTAACCCTAATATCTACTGGGTTCAGTCAAAGAGATACCAAAGTAAGCTTTGTACTCAGTGTCACATCAAATTGTCAAAAGAACTAGATATCTCAGAGGGTTGACCTAGAAGGTATCCTCATAACCACCAAGTGCTGAATCGGGCCTCAAAAGAAAACAATCAGATGATAGGACATTATATCAAGGCCTGACCTAAGTGATGGAAAACTGAATCTTTCACATCCTTATGAGAAGAAGAGCAAGTGTTCAAAGAAAGTCCTTGAAAACTATATACCTTCCACGGTCAAGGTTAATTTGATAGGGGCCAGAAGTGGATAAATAATTGTTATATACATAAAAAAAAATTCAGTTTCATATTCTTATTAGATGTTACTAACATGAGATTACAGTGAAAATAAGGTTCTTTGTTAAAATTTAATCTTGCTAATCTAGACAATGAATGCTAGCAGGATGTAGTAATGTAGTAGATTCATATATTTATAAAACTGGACATTTCTGGGAAACATAATGAGGGAAGAGAGCCTAGAGAATCTAACACTCACAAGACATACTGAAACAAGAGAAACAGTGTGTAACCTACTTAACAAGTTTTTGTGAATGGATGGAAGAGTAGTAAAGGATCAAAAGTTACTTAAAGCAACAAAAACAGGAAGTTGTAGAGAGTCATGATTTCTTATATCTTGAAGGAACATGGCATATAAAAGAAAAAGAATTGAGTAGTTGAGCAATTAAGAAATAAGCAATTGTTTATTTAAGTGTCTATTATTATACATTTTTTGATGAGTATTCTTACATCTTAATTTCAGTTGCTTTTTATTGCAATTAACCAAACTATCATTTTATAGTAGGTTATAAGCAATGGATGAATATTTTTCATATCATAACATCCTATTCCTCTCCATTTTATCTTCCTAACCTGTATCATTCAGTCCCATGGAGGTACCAAAGCATGGGGTAATGGTTAGCAACCTGGTTGAACCAGTAGTGAGTTTCAGCTTCACTGGGGACTCTATACAAAATTCAACATCAAATAACACAAGTGTTGACATGTAAAATCAATCAACTTTTCCACACAGCCAAAAACAAAAGGTTTGAAAGGAAATTGCCATCATTATTAGACACAGTGATTGATAATGATTAATGGACTTGAGACGTCTAAGTTCCTGAAAAGCTGTTTTAAGAAAACATTTTATAAATTTTAACCTACAGTAGCATTAACTTTTCAGGAAATAATTGCCAAATGTTTGCTGTATGGAAACGGCTATTTTCAGCATTATCATTATCATTACCAACCTAACCAAAAATCAATCCTAATGTTTGGCTTAATAGTTTAATTTTAAGAAAATCAGAAAAGTATACAACTAACCATTCTTCTTAACCCTTGAGTATGCAACTTAATGATTTAGTGTTATGATGTTGATTTGGGGTTAGTAGAGACAAACACCAAATAACACGTAACAATAAAAAGGGTTTTAATAGGTTTGTAAAAAGGTACAGAAACCTCCTGAGTAGTCAATAACTAGCTCAGCTAAGAACTTTCTGTCTATCTGTCTTTCGACATGCCACTATTTAAAGTCTTTGTTCACAGACAAGTTCATATTCAAGAGGGGTGGTAGGTTCCCGACACAACATTTAGAATGTTGCAGAATATTACAAAATATGTAGACAAAACCAAAATGGCAAATTCTGTTATACTGGTCAGAACTCTGATAACCAAAGCTGAGTAGGGGGTGGTTTGAAACTTGCATGTATGGAATTCTGATAATGATGAATAATCTTTGTTTAAGTTTAATATAAGACCAAAAAATGCACAAAGACAGTATGATGGTAGCAATAGAAGGATGAAGATGCTTCTCCACTTCCAGATTCCTTGGCATGCCTGGCTTCAGTAGATTGAGAAAAATCACCACATTGTGATGGCAAGTCACTCATCAATGGGTTGAGATCTGTCCTCTCATTCTCCATCTCATTTACTCCAAAAATGATTCTACTTCTACTGTGTTACCCACCACTGAAATATAGCAAAGAAAAGAAGCCTAAGAAAATAGTCTATCATTCATTCAGTCTGTGATACAGCATTGGGGGCCTGAAGAATTGCCAGTAGACCATAAGAAGCCAGAGACAACATGCAATGCAATAATATATTAAACCCAAACTTTTTTTTTTAGTTACCCATCTAAAAAGAACCTGGGTCAACATTGTTTCACAGTATTGATCACCTGTAATAAGTAGTATGAGACTCTTCTTTTTTCTTTTACATTGTAATCTGGCAAATTGTGGTGTGTCTGCAATATCTTCTAAGTTGTAAAACTGTCATGGGTAATTAGATAACAGGAGAGAAGTGTTAAAAATTTATGGTTACTTTTGTCATTAGCACAACAATGTGAATGGGTGGTGAGTGGAATGTAGAGAGCAGGTGGAAATAGATGATGAGAATCACATCTTGGGGAAATTCTCAGTATGATGTGAGGGGAAAAGAGGAAAGAAAAGAATTGAGGGAAGAGAATAAAGGAAGTTTGAAAATAATTGTAAAAAAAGAGAAGAGAGTGAAACATGAATAAAGAGAGAAACTAAAGTAGAAAAAGTAAAGAAAGAGGAATTATAAGAATATAAAATGGAAGACAGAAAAGAATGAAAAAAGAAGAAAAATAAAGGAGTACAAGAAGAGAAAAGATAGAAAAGAAAATGAGGAAGTAAGAAACAAACAGAGTGCAAAAAAAGCAGTAGGAAGAAAAGGTAAAATAGAAAGTGGATGAAGAAAGAAGGAAATTAGGAATAATTTAGAAGAAAGAAAAAAACAAAGGGAAGCAGGGATTAAAAAAGTACTAAAGAGGAAGAGATGAAGAGAGAAGGGGATAAGAACGAGAAAAAGAAAGAAAAAACAAAGGGATTTAAAATGTACTAAAGAGGAAGAGAAGAAGAAAGAAGGGATAAGAAGGAGAGAAAGAAAGAAAAAAACAATGTTAATCAGCTGAAAAATGAATGGATAGAAGAAGAGGAACATAAATATAGAAAGAAGAAAAAAAGAAAAGGAAATTGAACAAAAAAGGAAAAAGGATATTGAAGGAAAGAAAGATAAAAACACAGATGAAAAAAGTAAGTAAAAAGAGGAAGCAGGATGATGGGAAAAAAAAGAAGAGTAAAATAATAAAAAATTAAGGTCAAGAAGAATCCTCCAGAGTTACTGACTCATCAAATTCTATCCACTGTATCCCAACTATCACATTGCATTATCAAGTTCATCCTCTAAAAACAGATTTGGTTATTCATCAGTAAATGTGTTTTGCAGCTGGAAGTAATGAGACTAAAACCCTTTATATTTAAAATAAGTCAACATCTGTAGCATTTTACATGCGTTACATTACTCTGAAGGATGTGAAGGCAGGGTAATGTTTACTAGCTCAGAATGGGAAATTGGCATTCCAAGAGCAAATTTCAGTCAAATTCATTGCATTTACTTTCACACAAAGACCCTCAAGAAAGGTATAAATCCATCACTTCTCTTCTCAGCTATTTAAATATTACAACAGACTGTGTTCTTTAGACTTGGTTGGCAACCAGTCTAGGAGAAGGACAACACTTAATTCAAAACTGGTTGTGCATGGGACTAGCAACTCTATCCATCAAAATTTATTTGCTACAGAAACCACTGCAGCAATGTGAGTGAGTGAGTGAGTGAGTGAGTGAGTGAGTGAGTGAGTGAGTGAGTGAGTGAGACTACTCTGTAACAAGTGCCTCCAAGTAGATAAATAATAAGAATCTAAGACCACAGGAAATTTGTTCCTCTGATAATAACTTTCTACAGGAAAAAGAGAACAACATTCAATGATGTTTGTTATGACTTTCATTCTATGTAGCAATTTTTATTTGGGAAATCTTTGCCGGCCAAACAAGGATTAATCATGGTGAATATTAAATAACATTTTTTTTTATTTTGGAAATCAACTCTTTTAGTTGCAACAACAAAACATCACATTTTTAATCAAGTTTGGAACTATTTTTTGTTTGCTAATTGTACATACACACGCATACACATACACACACACACACACATACACGCACACAAACAAAGTGATACTTCCTATTTTATTATTAAGATCATGACTCAAGTTTACAGATTGGTGTTTTGGTTTTATAGCAATTTGCATTGTTGGACAAAATTTTGTGATATCAACAAATACTCATTGTCCCTTTTGAAATGCTCATTGTAGTAAAGACTTTGTAATTGCAGATACAATTATAGTATGCTGTTGAAGAATATTGGTGTCAGATGCCTTTGAATAATCTCACACTAATAGTACTTGCTCGATAATACTCGCTTGAATAGTAATCCGTATAGTGATCCAAAAGAGAAATAGTATAGTGAATAGAGTAGAGAATAGCAGTCCGTATAGTAATAGATAGAGTAGAAATGCAGTTCAATTAGATGTGACACAACTTCCTATTTTATGTGTTTCCTCTACAGTCATGCAGCCTACTTAAATCAATAATGGGATCACCTGTGTTTGTTCACTGGTGATCTATGTTCAAACTCAAATGTCAGCAGTGACACTTTATTCTTATATTTTAAAATTTTTATCTGATTTTTCTACAATTTGGATAATTTTTTTCAGTTTTCAGGGAAAGTTTCAGCATAAATTATCTTGTGCATTTTTGACTTTCATAAGTCATTATCAAAGAAATTTTGTGTTTTGAAATGGTTGTGTCTATAAGCAAGCATCATGTTTCTTTGGTGGTTTTTGATCTCCAAATTAAAAATTGGGGGACTATCATGACAAGTTTTTTAAGTGCTGCATCTTTACACATTGATCTGTGGTGTTTTCCCATTTTCTTTTCAATTGTGGAATATATTTAGCATGCTTATTCTTAAATTGAATGAAATTTTGTTGATGTTGATTTCTTTGTCTTATATGGTTAAGGCATCTAGTATTTGTAGATGCTTTTAACTTTTTACATGGTATTGTATTTTTGCATTATTAATAAATACTTATTAGATATCTTGTCCTTTTTTTGTGTGTCAGTTGTGATATGTAATCTTTGTTATTATTGAAATAATGACAAAATAAATTATGTGACAATATAACTATAGTGTAACCAATGCTATGGGTAAATTGTCACCATTGTTTATTTTTAATTTTGTGCATGTGTGTTTTTCGTTTTTGGTTTTATCAACTGCACAGTACATTAGGGTCAGTTGGGCACCATCTGTGAGAAAAAGATCACCATGAGGCAATTTATTCTGCCAGAAATTTGGAAATGTCATACTGTATGGCTTGGAATTCATGCCAAAGGTCCATTATGAACATTTCATAGTGTTTGGGTGTCAGTCTGAGGACAATGCACAGGATTCCGAAAGAGTTTTATGAGTCTAATGGTGATTACGAAGGTACAGCAGCTCAGAAAACTTGGATCATTCTGGTGCGAAAAGAACTGCTGAATTTGTTGGTGAGAGACTCAAACTCAACATGGAGGAATACATCAAGTGGCTTGAGAAAGTAGTGCTGCCCTGGGTCAAGAAGGTGGCTGCTGGAAGACCCTATGTCTGGCAACAGGACTCTGCACCATGCCACATAAGCAGGAGAATCCAGTTATGGCTGTTAGACAATTTCTGTGGCCGCATCACTCTTACATCTGGCCACCAAACTCCCCAGACTGCAACCCCTTTGATTATTATGTGTGTGGCATAGTTGAGTGAGAGACCAACAAAACTCTTTATAATACCAAAGATGAACTGAAGGCAAGGATTATGGCAGCATTCACCAACTTAAACAAGGGGACTGTCCAGAAGAGATGCTGGAGGTTCCAATGTTGTCTGGAGGCCGTAGTTGAAGCCAATGGTGATTTTATTGAATAAATTTACTCTTTAGTATTTCAAGATATTTTTGTGTAATTTTGGTAAATATATCAGTTAAAATGAGATACCAGTGTTATTTTTTAATTTTTGCACAATTTAGATGACAATTTATCCTTCCCATCCTGTATATGTTCTTTAAATTATTAGAGAGACATTCACCAAGTTGGCAAGTGAATTCATAAACTCCATTGGTTTGTTGAAGTTTTGATTTTTTTTGTTGCATTGTTGATATTGATTATGTTAAAGATTTTGAGTTCTTTGTAGTAAGCTAAGCAAAGCATGAAGAAACAGGAAAATTTTGTTAGAAACAAAGAAAAGATTACTTAGATGTTATGTTATATTGGTCTTTGCATGTGGCAGTGAATACTGGACAATCTTCTCACAGATTAAGAAAAGACTTGAAGCAACAGAAATATGGTTCTACAGAAGGATGCTAAGAATACCATGGACCAAACATGAGTGCAACAACAAAATTTGAGAGAAAATGGAAATAAAAAGTACACTTATATTTAACATCAGGAAGGAAAGAAAGCTTGGAAAATTTTACCTTTACAGGACATATTGAAGGCAAAAGGGACAAAGAAAAACAATGTATAACCTACCTAGTGAGTATGGCAGAACAGGATTTAGGAAAGATAACAAAAAGACAAATTTTATTAAGAGCCACAAAGGACATGAAAATATGGAGAGCTATAATTGCCAACGTCCTGAAGGGACAAGGCACATAGAAGAAGAAGAAGAGTTTAATTTATCCTTGTTGACAATTGCTATGTTTTTATTATTATTTTATTGTATTAGATTTCTAATGTTCAGTTACAAATAGTGATTCTCTTCCTTTCATTGAGATAGTTATGAGGATCACATGATGGCTGATAAATGACAGGAGGGAGATTGATGAGAGCAGTTTTCATGTAGCACCCAGAAAAGAAGGATGTCCTTAGGCCACAGTGATAGGTCTTACAGGAAAATCACATGGCTAAGCTCAGTTCGTAGAGAAGCAGCCATAACCCCAGTTTTTTTCCTTTGGGAAATATAGCAAGTAACATTCCCCTTTCTTACACACTGTTTGTTGTGGTATATGTTATAATTTCTTTGTGTGCGACACTTGTATATATGTATATATCTAATTTTATGTACGACATAGCATTATAAATCCTTTCTGTGAACTAAACATGTATTATTCTTTTTCCATAACAGCTATTCTATTCTGTCCATGGAATATCAGTGTTGTTATAGGGATTTCCCAAGTATAGCTTAGATGTGGCACAAGGCCAAAAGTAGGAGGCACCCAGTGAGGATGGAACTTACTACTCAGTCATAATTGTTCTAGCGAGACAAGCTTGCTAACCATTAAACCACCTTGAGGAGCCCACAAAATGACTTTCTAAGCACAGCTTAGATTTGGCACAAGGCTGAAAACAAGGGGCACCCAGTGAGGATTGAACTCACTATTCAGTTGTAATGGTTCTAGCAAGACAAGCTTGTTAACAATTACACCGTGTTGAGGTGTCTTATATCAGTGTTGTTATATCATGGATATAGCAATGCCTATAACAAGGAGAAATGTACCAAGGAAAATAAATACTTCTTTTTCACACTCTATTACTAATAATGTTTTCATCTAGTTTGGGATTATTGCACAATTAGCTTTTGTAAAATAGTTTAATAGTGTTTTTTTTCATGCTGTTATTATTATTTGTATTATATTTTCTAAGGTTAGTTTAATTTATTCACAAATTACAAAGGTTAAATATATTTTATTATGTTTATTGTATATTTTTGAGTTTGTTGTAAAATTTTCTGTATGTCAAGGATATTATAATTTTCTCAATTTATTTATGATAGCTATTTTGTATCTTTATGGGTATTCGCTGTTGTAAGTGAGTCAACATGGGTTTGATTGATTGTCATTTTATAAATGGAAATTTTAATATTATCACTATTCAAATTGATTAGTACATCTAAAAAGGGAATGTTGTTATTGATTTTCAGTTCATACGCGGAATTAAGAACTGAGTTATTTTCAAAGTCTGTTCTCAGATTATTGACTTTATTTTAAGTTAATATAAATATATTAATAACATAATGAGCATAAATCTTCTTCTTCTATACACAGTGTCCATTCAGGACATGAATGATCATGGCTCTCCACATGATAATAAAGTTTATCTTTTTGCTATCTCTCCTAAACCCTGTTCTGCTGACCATTAACAAAAGCTCATTAGGTAAGTTATGTGCTGCTTTCATCTATCCCTCTTGCTTTCACTGTGTCTTGTGAGTGTCAAATTTTCTAAGCCCTCTTTCCTTATTATGAACCCTAATTTCTATGAGCAGAAATATTTGGATTAGATTGATATTTTTTTAAAATCTCATTTTCTTTTACTGACATTTTTGTATTTTGATAGTCTTTAAGCAATCAGTGAAACCATAGTAACACCACAGATCGATTTGATTTTATGGCTTATTGACCCATTATAGGTTATTTAAAGCCAAAAATTTTGGATTGTAAGAAAAATATCCATTGTTTGTGTGGGAATATTGTATTAGCAATTTTTTTGACAAGTAACTATGATTTTTTTCAGATACAAGTCCTATTATTTAAATATCGGGGATGGATTTACACCTTTCCCAAGAGTGTTTGCATATAAGTAAATGTAACAAACCTGATTGGAATTTGAACTCAGCTCTCTGATTTGTCATTTCAAGCTGCTATTCTTTACACCACATGCATATCAGAACCCATAGCAGCACTATCAGTTAGTGTCTATATATTTTCATAAAATAAAAAGAATACATTCTTTCGAAACTTGACTAATGCATGTCCTGGCTCACTACTGCCTTTTTCCACTATCAACATCTGGTCAGTCACCAGCCATGTTGTTAATGGGTAGACAGCCCAGATCTCAGCTTGACCTGGTGTATCTAGACTTATCCGCCAAAGTCACCAGTAAAATGGACAACATTAAAATGTCGATGGATAGAAAGTGACAGGAAAACAGATTCTCTTTGGGAGATGCTGTTGACATTATGAACTTTCAAGGGTAACCAAAATGGATGTCTGGAGTTCTAGAGGAGAAACTTGGCGCACTGACTTTTCTAGTATGGTTGAAGGATGGGTGTATATGGAAAATACATGTTGATCTCATCCTTGTTACCAAAATGTCACAACTTGGTAAGGGGGTCTGTAATAACTACGACAGTGCAGTTTAGTCTGGTGACTTCTGTCTGCAGAAGCAATACTCCCACTTTTTATTCACACATACACAATATGGCCAACACAGTGCTTCCATGCCTGAACAATGGCTGAAACAGTGCTTCCATTTCAATAATTCCCGGTTAAAACATCCCTTCCCAATTAGTTAAAATTTAATTTAACAATATGATTTTTACATTTTATCTCTGCTTGCTGAAATATTTCCAGATACATTGCAGAATTCAGAGAGCTGGCATATTTGTGGGGAAAAAATCTCCCCTCATTGTCAAAATGTCACAACTTGATAAGGGAGTCTGTAATAACAATGATAATACAGTTTAGTCTGGTGACTTCAACCAAAGATGCATAAATGAAAATAGCTACCCAAATAGACACCATATGATAGATAGATAGATAGATAGATAGAGGGAGAGTGAGAGAGATGTATATAGAAAGTATATAGAAAGTGTAAACACAGAAATTAACACTTCATGGGTTTCTAGCTGTTTCTCATCTTCAGTACGCATCACATGAGGCGTTACAAATAGTCTGTAGATTATTTAAGGCATGAAACTGCTAGCCCCCAGACGGTGCTCATTTCTATGTCTTCACTATCTAAAAATGCTCTATCACTGATATTGAACACATTTCCACAATAAAGATACCAAATTTCAAACAATATATATATATATATATATATATATATATATATATATATATATATATATATAAAAAGGTAACAAATCTGTTGGTATATAATCCAAGTGGATCCTAGTAATATATATTAGTACACAATAAAATACAAAATTATCTCAGATGGGGGAATATAAATATATGCCTATATATGTGTATATATATATATATATATATATATATATATATATATATATATATATATATATATATATATATATATATATATATATGTATGTATATGCATACACACAAACACACACATATATATATATATATATATATATATATATACAGTGGGTTAAAAAAAAACTTTTATCTTTAATTCTTTTAAATATAAAACATAAAAATGAATAAGAGATGAAAACGAAAATAAAAGAAGCTATTTGAAATAAAAATTTCAAGCATGAAAATAAAAAGTATTAACTTTTTTGTTGTGGAGTGCTGCTGAGGATACTCTTGCATGAATTTGTGTATATGTGTATCCATTGTTGTTCTATATATATATATATATATATATATATATATATATATATATATAAAAACTTTAAAAAACATATATAAATATATATATATAGATATATTTTTTTTTTTTTTTGGAAAGTTCAAGAATCAGAGTTATGACATTATTTTTTTAATGAAAATATATGTATAGCATTAAAATATTTATATCTTTCCTTTACTTATTTAGTTGTGAATTTCTATGTTCTTCAGGTCAAATGTTTATGCTGTAAATAAGTCCAACTGTAAAGTATGTATATGTACACACACATATTTGTGTGTGTTGTGTGTGTGCACATAGACAAAGTTATATGAATATATAAAGATATATAAAGATATATGCATGTTTTTATACTTGTATATTGAAGAGATACAGAGACTCATTGGTTTCCTGCTTTCCAGGGATTAAAAATTGTCCAATGTCTTAGAAATGCTAACTGATTCAAATAATAACTTTAAAACCTCTATTTATTTTAAAAAAAAGAAACTCATACCAATGCATATTCAACTAGAATAATGAATGCTTACAGATATACAAAATAGCTATCAAAATAAATATCTTCTACATGAAGAATATTGTATAACAAACACAAAAATCTGAAAAAATACATTTCCTAACTGTTGTAACCTATAGAATGCTACTGAATAGAATAATTACACAAAGGTTGGTAATGAATGATAATACTTAGGACACGAACAACACATATAAGATTCACCAGGGATGTGTGGAAGAAGTAGTCAAGTGAATTCCACAATGAATTTCCAACTGCAGACCAACATACAATATTTACTACTGTATTTATATGAATGGGGACATACCCATTAACTTCCGCATGTATGCTACAACAATAACTATTTTATAGATAAAGAAATTAAACTATCTTTAGAAAAAAGAAAAAAAATAAGGCAAAAGATTATAAGAAACATACTACATTTATTATCTATCAAATTTGTTTTAATGAGTCTATTACTTAGTTGAGTTCAGTCCACTGTCTGGTGTATGTCCAGCTGCAAATTACAACTGTATTGTCTCAGACAACTGCTCAATATGGTTCTTGATGTTTTGCCCAGTCCCATGTTAAATTCTCACATTTATAAATGTATGGGCGTGTTCACCTCGTCGCTTGGGGTATAATAAAATTAAACAAAGAAATCTCCCTGATGCAAATACTCAAAACTTCAATAAAGCATGGTTTTCTTTGAATTCAGTTACCAACTTGTAAAATGTCTCTTTAATAATATTAATAATTCAAACAACATATATATTGGATACACTATGACAACATATCATGTCAGTTAACTTGCCATTTATCCAATAATAATTAAATGTCATAACATCAACCCACTCCACAATAAACCACAATGCATCTGATAAATTCTTATCACTAATAGAAAAATGCTATAACCTATCAATTGTAATAAATAATCACAAATACTAGAAGCCATAAACAATAAAAGACCTAGCATCAATAGAATGTCATTTAATTTAGAAACAAGCATGCTAAATATATTCCACAACTAAAAATATTCTTTAAGGTACAAGACCTGAAACTGGTGTTTGCAGATATAGAACTTGTAAAAACTTGTCTTGATACTCAGCAATTTGTGGAGATGCAATACTCAAAAACCACCTAAGAAACACAATGTATGCCTATAGCCACAATCTTTCAACACACAAAAATTCTTTAATAATGGCATTTGAAAGTAAAAAATGACACAGTATGTGTTCAAATTCTCTCTGAAAACTATAAAAATGGTCTTAACCCCCAAAATTAAAGAACTTTTATTTTTTTCAACTAAACATCAGGCATAAATAAATAAGGCACAATCTTTGAGCATGAACCAACTGGAGAAAAGCACAGTCCATAAAAAAATATCCTTTGGAAACACCAGAAGAAAAATAGAAGGGATGAAGATAGCCCAAAGAAAAGCCAGAGCTTTCCATCTATGTTGTGGCTGCAGACATCTCTTCAGATCCAATATAGGACTCATTTCACATAGAAAGAAATGTCATTGAGTACCTCAATACTCAGAAACAAGTACCGCTAATGACAACAATATATATATATATATATATATATATATATATATATATATATATATATATATATATATATAGAAAACTCTAATGACAACAATATATATATATATATATATATATATATATATATATATATATATATATATATAAGAAAAGTCTACCTATTGACATTCATTAATTCTTACTGGACATTTATAGAGACCAAACAGAGGATATGAGTACAGTTTGGAGATTTTACTTGAGGCAACAACAATGTGAAAAAGAGTTTTATAAGTACAACAAGCAGGCTTTTTGTTTATCACTAGAGAAAATGCCTAGCAAATGGTAGTGACTATATAGAAAAATAGTTTTCATAGCTGAAAACTTCCTTCATCAAATAGTGTTATTGTGATCCCTGTATCCATTGTAGTTCTCTTGGAAATAAATAGGAGGCATTACTTTCAGATGTATGTAGGGGTGTGTGTGTATATATATATATATATATATATATATATATATAGATAGATAGATAGATAGATAGATATGTGTGTGTGTATGAGAGTGTATGAAGTGTTAAGTAAAAACATACAGAAATAGTGTAGCAAGATACAGAGAAAAGAGAAACAGAGAAGTGTACAAGTAGCTTTTGCCATCTGGTAACAATATATGAAGTAATGTTTTGTTATTTTCATCTATCATTTGCTCAAAATGTTTAACTTCCTCATAATGTTTGGGAAACACTTGTGATTGTATAGCAACTTCTGACAGATAGACTGAAGTGAAAGGAGAGCTTACAAGCATTGCTATTAATAACAAGAAACATTTCAATACTTAGCAGATGACACATCTTTAAAGGAAAACTTGACAAGATACACAGTTATTAAACTACAGACAGACAGCGGTTTGTCCAAACGAAATTCCAACACCTGAACCAACAGACTTTGAGCTTTCACTAAGATCTATAATAGTCTACTATGAATAATATACTGTTAACATCTAATTACACAACTTTTTACATTAGTATAATGGCCGATTTCCAAGCACACCCGTCTGCTAGGGCAACTAGCCAATCCCTGTTGCAGATGCCTGCTCGGTTACATATATGTTTGTTAGCTTACTTGCAATTTATACTGCAACTGTGCTAAGTAGACCTTAGTTACAGTTTCTATAAGAGAGTACATTAATCTGTCATCAACAGTATATTCAAACACTTGGTCACAATGTCTTGTCAATTTGTTCAAGTGCAATCATCAACGACTTTCAAACAGTTTTGTCGACCCAATATGCCTCACAAGCTTTCAGTATGATTTTTCAGCACTTTTCAAGGATGCTGCATGCTGGGTTTAGAAATCAGTACAGGTTCAGTGTAGTAGCTGTGCACAAATGTTACAAACAAAAAATACATGGTTATAGATATGTGTTGTGTTTTATATATGATAATTATAAATTATCATAATGTATTATATCAAATATATATATATATATATATATATATATATATATATATATATATATATATATATATATATATATATTTTGTGTATTTAGGCAGCAATCCTCCTTTCATGCACATTTCATTGAATACAACAGACAAGGTACTTTGATTTAGTTTTTTTATAGAATTTCTCATATGATCTAACATTTTTTTTTTTTGGATGATAAATTATATAAAAACTGTTCAATTGTTCTTTTTATCCAAAGCAATTTCAGCTATATATTTAGCCATTTTCAAGGTTGAATATATTAACTGTTAACAAGAAATATGTTAACAGTTAATATATTTGAACCTAGAAAATGGCTAAATGTCAAGCCATAAGAGCTCGGATAAAAAGAACAATTGGACAGTTTTTATATAATTTATCATCCAATAGGGAAAAATTATTAGATCACATGAGAAATTGTATAAAAAACTAAATGAAAGCACCTTGTCTGTCGTATTCAATGAAATGTGCATATATATATATATATATATATATATATATATATGTATATAAAACAACTAAAGAGTTTCAAATTAAAAAAATAATAATGTATTTTTATGAAAGTATTTATTTATATTTGATATTTCAGATCGACCTCGATCTTTCTTTAGAAATATATATATATGAGTCATTATTGAGTTGCTAGGTAGTATTATGTAAAGCCATTGCATACTACCTTTGAACCCCCTGACCAGGGGGAGCTAAACCTGATTGGGGGCTGCGGCCAGTGCTTTTGACACTTGCTATCTTATCAACATTATCTTTTTTCTACCTACATTTATAGATGCTGCAAATTAAACTAAGTATCGGTGACTATTACAAGGATGAAAAA